TAAATTTTTTTAGTTTTTTTAAAGAGCAGATGGGAGGGGACCAGCAGGTGGCATGGTGTTGAAAGTGCTGGACACTCCCACATGGCTGACCACAATTCGAGTACTGGACTTGGTGGCTTGCTTTCTCACTTTCCCTCTTTCTCTGATTCTGACTCTCTCTCTGGACAAATTAAAATAAATAAATGAAGAAATAAAATTAAATAAATAATTCTCTTTTTTTATTAAAAAAGAGAGAAATAGAAGATGACTCATTTTTGAAATCAATGAATTTTCCTAAGAAAACATATCCTCAATGCTGATTTTGGATAGTTTTGCTGTGCTTGGCATAGTTTAGTAGGATTCCAACTATTTCACCTATGATCTGAAGGCACGAGTTGGAAAACCAGAAGTAGATTTTTGTTTTTTGGTTTGTTGTTTTGTTTGTTTGTTTGTTTTTTGCCATAGAGCACATGCACTGTCCAGAGGGAGATAGAATAGAAAGAAAAAAAGTGAGAAATAATCCCCCCAGGAAAGATCGCAATAGCACAATCCTTTCTCTTCCATTCTCCTCTCTGGATTTTGGGCACAAATGCAACCAGCATGCATTTTCAAGCCATTGGGTCCAGGACCCAAACCCACAGTAAGTCATGTGGGATCCAGTATTTTAACCAACACACTACCTGCTGGCCCAGAAGTAGATTTTTTTTATCTTGGATACCAGCTCCTATAGAATAACATTATCTTCTTCTGTCTCTCAGATATAATAGCAGAGACCCAATGTGTACTTAAAATAGATATACTCATTGTAACATATAAATTGAAAGGATAATGTAATGATTTAATATCTTAAACCCAGAAAAAATCATTTAAAAGAAATAAAAGCTAACTTTATAGCACAGCTATAACACCCTGGTCAAAAAGCCAGATCACATGGGGCAACTGTGGTTCGAATCCCTGACTAAATAAGCTTGAAACATGCAGGGCATGCACATAAGTGTCCAGGATCCAACAGGCTGGAAGACTGGTGGGAGGGGATCACAGTGTGACCAGACCTTGTGAATGGGTACTCATCTCTCTGCTCATCCCTCTGCCTCTTCCACATGCACATGTACATGCTATAATAATGAATAAAAGAAATTTCTTTTAAAGAAATGAAGAAAAAGAAGCAAACAGAACAGCATCATCATCAACTTTTTCTTTCTCTTCTAGAACAATTTAATCCTAAGTAATTAGGTGAGAAAAAGACAGCGTGCTGAGTGCTGAGGGGAGGAGAGGAAGATGCAGAACCTCAAAGCAAGGGTTAGTGCTTAGCTTCGGAGGAAGTGGGATGAAGTAAAAAGTTTCAGTACATGCACCTTACTATTGGGTTGTTGGAAAGGCATGACGCATTTTTGCATAGAAAAAGTACATGACTTTTCCAACGACCCAACAGTTCTGTTAACCATGACTAAGCAACTCTATCAACCTAACCTTTATTTCTTCTTTTATAATATGGTCATTATTTGCCTGTTAAGGTTGCTGAAAAGATTTTAAAAATATCTGACTTGTCACTCGTCTCTAATAAATGTGGTTATTATTCATGTTACTATTACAGTTCTAGACATATACCCGTATAGAAAAAAAAAAAAAAAAGACTGAAAAGGAGTATCTAAAATCAGGAATGAGTGGGACCAGCAGGTGGCATGGTGCTTAATGTGTCGGACACACTCTCACGTGGCTGACCATGGTTCAAGTCCTGGACCTGGTGGCTTGCTTTCTCTCTCTCTCTCTCTCTCTCTGGTCTCTCTCTGGTCAAATTAAAAAAAATAAATGAATAAATACATAAAATTAAATAAAATAATTTCTTTTAAACAAATGGGAATGAACATGAGAGGAAGAGAAAGAAAAAGAGAAACAGAGAGAGAGAGTGAGGCAGGCACACACCCTCAACAGAGTCTTTAGGTCGCAATCCTCCCACCAAACCTACCAACCAAGATCACAGACAAGCCCACAGGGGTTCCCAGAATGCCTGGGCAGACCGGGAACATGCACCCGGAGCTTTCTCAAAAGGCCTCCAGCATCAGCACCCCGCAGTGACTGTGCTACCATGACTAGGTCAACAACATGTATATACCACTTTTTTTTTTGCTTTTTTGCTTTTTTTTTTTTTTTTTTTTTTTTTTTTTTTTTTTTTTTATAAACCATTTTGTCTCCCCCATTTTTTTGAGATTTTTGCTATAGCACATGTGTACTCCCAGAGAAACAGAGAGTCAGAAAGCAAGAAATCACCCCCCAGGGGGAATGAATATGCCACCATCCCTTCTCCTCCATTCTCCTCTTAGGATCTTGGGCACACAGCACATGTACCTGGCATGAGTTTTAAGCCACCAGGATTCAAACTAGTCAGCTACGTTGGAGTCCAGCATCTTAAGCACTCCGTCATCTGCTGGCCCCTTTACCACTTTTCTGTATAGAAAAAAAATAATAAAGCTATTTTAAAAGCATTATTTGGGCTCTCATTTCTCTTATAAAGACATAATTGCTAAGAGAAAATCCTACAGAATATCAAAATCAAAATGACACTGTTTAGAGTAGGAAAAACACCACGTATGAAATCTGCAACCCATTCTGGTCCCTTTTTGGTCTTGCACTAAGGGACCATAGGCAAATTACTTAAGAAAAGAACAACCTCCACCATTCCCTCACAAAGTTGTTTGGAGGGTGAATGAGACTGCGTATATGAAACTGATCTACCCACTGTACAGCAATATGCAAATAGAAGGCAAGAGATTAGGGGATAACTTAGGTCAGTGTTCAACAAAGGCAGGAATTACCTCTTGAGAAGAATTACAGAAATAAAGGTAAAGGGACACAGCATTAAGTTGAATGTACTGTGAGAAAGACTCCCTACATATGACCTACCAATCTTTCTGCAGACATTAAGAAGAAAGTGTCAGGGATCAATAGATGGTGTAATGGTTACATCACGGACTCTGACAGAGTCAACTGAGTCCTGGACCCAGCAGCTTAAAACTCACGCTGGGCACATATGTACATGCCCAAAATCCCAAGAGGAGAATGAAGGACAAGGGATTGCAGTGTGTCAATCCCCCCTAGGGGTTGATTTCTCGCTTTCTGTCTCTCTGTCTCTGTCTCTCTGGCGAGCTCACATACCCTAAAGAAAAAAATCTCTCTCTCAGAAAAAAATAAAAAAGTGTCAAATTGGTACCATTATACAGTTAACACCTCTCTAACAGTTATTAATCTCCCCTTTTAACAAAGAATACATCTCAGACTCAGAAACTCCAACAAACAATAGTAGCATGCATGTAATACCATTTTAATTTATTTATATTCATATTTATAAAACTTTTCTAATTATGCCAGGTGATACAGGTTTTTCCATTGAAGATGGTGATATAACAACTACTTTTAAGATAAACTCATTTCCATGAAAGAAAAAAAAGTTAAGTATATTTAAAGAATAAATAATAGTATAGGAAGCATACCTTGAAGCTGAATTGCTAAGAACTGAAATTTGGAAAACACTTAATGAGATGATGACCTAAAGAAGTGTTCTATACTGTAAATTCCTAGAAGGCAAAAAGATCAAGATTCATCCATTTCCAATATCTCTTGCGGAACCTTAATAACACTCAGAATATGGGACCAGCATATGGAGTAATGGTTATGTCACTGGACAGTCACATAGTCAATGGTGGTTTGAGTCCTGGACCCAGAAATTTAAAATTCATGCTGGGAGTAAGCGCATGCATGCCCAAGATCCCAAGAGGAGAATGGAAAAGAAGAGATTGCAGCCTGGTCATCCCCCTTGGGACGGGCGGGGCGGGGGGGGAGGAATTTCTCTCATTCTGACTCTACCTCTCTCTGTCTCTCCAGCAAGAGCACACACCCTATAGCAAAAATCACTGTAATAAAAAAAAAAAATAGTACTCAAAACATAGCAGAACCTCTACAAATACCTAATGAAATGGAAATTAATTCTAATTATAAATACTGGGCTTGAGTTCTGATTCTGCTAGGCTCTAAATCCAATATATGAGTATTAGTAGCCACATCATATGTGCAGATGTCCCCAGGCAGATAGGAATGAGATAAACCCCAAATAATCAGAAGCTAGAACCAATGAGAGATTAAACCCTAAAAACTCATTAGGAAAAGAAAAAGGATATTATAGATACACTGTACATCAGAAATGAAGCAGAAAGTCCAAAAACAAAACAAAGAACTTAGGGCAAAGAAGCAGGAAGGGGGAAAAAAGCCCCACATATGTCACAGCTTGGGTTAACCCAATCACAGTTGAAATATTGCTTGCCAAAGAACTGACAAGTGGAGAGAAAGGCACTGTTGTCAGGTCAGCTCTCCTGAGGAGAAACTAAATTCAAAACTAGAAAGAACTCTCTCATTACTAAAATATATCTACAGGCAGGCAAATATTTTTAAAACTTCCACTGATAAATGGGCCTGCATGATTTAATAGCTCTGAGGAAGAATCCTGGAAAGAATTTAGCATATTTGGGGAACTCCATAAACACTTAGAATGAAAAGAGCAATTTTAGAAAATTTAGCAGTATCTCAAAAAGGAAAAAGAGTAAAACTAGTTACATCTTCTTTTATAAAAATGTTTCATTATTTGGGGTCAGTGGGTGTCATGGAGGTTAAGGCACTGGATCCCACATAGCCAACTATCCAGTTGAGTCCTAGACCCAGTGGCTTTAAAAATATGCAAGGCGCATGTGTGAGCATGCATAAAGTCTAAAGTGGAGAATGGAGAAGGGATTGTTGGCATGGTCATTCCCCCATGGGAGGTGCTTTCTCACTTTCCTTCTCTCTCTCTCTGTCTCTGGCAAGCACATGTACCCTACACCAAATAAATAAATAAATAAATAAATAAATAAATAAATAAAGTTTCATTTAAAATCCTGACAAGTTTACTGCAAAAAAAGTATTCAAAAATATGTACCTGAAAACACAAACATAAACATTAGAGCTTTGACACAATTAGATTTTCCAAAGATTACCGAGCATAAAATAGCAGTCTCCTTGGTGAAGGGGTATTGCCAAACCAGGTGTCTCTATGTCCCACGAGATCTTAAAACCAACATGCCAAATATCAGGATCTCTGCCTTCAAGATGAGAATCATCCTCACTTTCTTCTTCAGAGTCTATAAAAGAAAAGGACAGAAAGGGAAAGTTAAATCTAAACTTTTAGGCTTTATAATGGTTATCATAGAAATAATTAATATTTTAATAAAGTATGGATATATGAAATATATCCTTCTTTTGTGTAATTAAGAAAAAAGAATTCTGGACTATTTTTAACATATCATTTATTTTTTCACCAGAAAACCTTAACTAAAATGATAAGGAAGTAACAATTTATGCCATGATAAAAGAGTGCTCTGTTCAATTCCAAGCAAACAAATTAGAAAATCTAGATTAAATGGATAATTTTTTAGGAAGATACTAGTTACTAAAATTGATCCAGGAAGACACAAAAGATTTAAATGGATGTAAAGACGTACAATGTTCTCGGGAATTAAGAATGACAGCACAGCAATGTCGGTTCTCTCTAAATTCATCTTTAAATTAGACACGATCATAATAAAATCCCAACAGGATGATTTTTTATTGATAGATGACTAGGAGTGGTAGCTAGACAAGCAGGTTCTATAATACACATGAAAAGATATGTAAGGATAGTCAGTGAATTCAGAATTAATGTATAAAGAGCTCCTATACATCAATAAGACAGATCAATAGTCAAATGTAAAAATGGCCAAATGTCATTAAGACAGAACACATAAAAGGAAATAAAACTAGCTCTTAAAATAAAAATATTTTCCAACTTACCTAGATCATGTAAATGCAAATTAAAGCCATAAGAGATATTTTTTCACTTATTCAATCAGAAAAGATCAAACACTTTGAAAAAGTACAGTGTTAAATAAAGTAAAATGACACACACATATTCTCTGTAGAGGACAATTGGGCAATACCTATTAAAACTACAAATGAATACATCCTCAGACTTGGAATTCCACTTTCAGGTTGCAAAGTCAAATGGCCATTAATCAAATATATTTATTATAGTACTGTTTATAGGAGCAAAAGATTCAAAAGTCAACCAAATGTCTATTAATAGGTTTCTGGTTAAATAATTTATTTCCACCTAAGAAAATACTTTGTAGCCACTAATACGAATATGACCATGTACTGATATGGAAGTGATATAGTTTTAAAAGAATTATTTTATTTTATTTACTGTTATTATTATTAAGTAATTTGCTATAAGACACATGTACAAGGGGGACCAGCAGTTAGCGTAATGGCTATGTCACTGGACTCCCATGTAGTTGACCGTGGTTCGCATCCTGGACCGGGTGGCTTAAAACTCACGCTGGGCGCGTGTGCGTGCGTGCCCAAGATCCTGAGAGGAGAATGGAGGAGAAGGGATTGCAGTGTGGCCATCCTCCCTGAGGGGTGATTTCTCGCTTTCTGTCTCTTTGTCTGTCTCTGTCT